TTGTAGGCTATAACAGATTCTGAAACACAGTGTATTTAAAAATAAATAAATAAATTAATATTGTTGTATCCTTTCTCTAACTTAAAAAACATACAATATTAGCTTTCTGTCTGTCTTTGACCTCCATGTCCCCCTTTCTTGCGGTTTCATTTCTCTGTGTGTCTTGGACCAGGACAGGACTCTGCTTGTCTGTTTTTAGTAAAGACGTCTTGCTTGTAGACTCTTGAGCAAATCTTTGACATGGAGGAATACACCACTAATATTGTCCCTGTCTGACTGTGTCCGCGGGATACCGGAATGCAGGAATATTACTGATGGAGAAATCCTACATTTTCTCTGTCTCTCCGTCTGTCTGTCTGTCTGTCTATCTGCCTGTCCATTCATCTATCTGTCTGTCTCTCCATCTATGACATTTACGTTTTAGTTTTGACAATTACACTGTGTAAAATGGTATCTGAAAAATAATTATGAAATGACAGTATTTAGCTTTACTGGGCCCTTAACTTCAGAAAAGCACGATGACTAACATTAACCATATATTTGGACAAACAAGCCAAAATTGCTTTGTAAAGTAAAAAATGAGCATGTTTCTGTGGTTCGGTGTGTGTTCCCACCGTTTATGCTACACACTGTGGAGCGAAACGCTAACACAGCACCACCACAGGTGCAGGCAGAGTGACATGGGCTAAAAACATGCAGCGCCGTGCCACAGAAATACTAGGTGTGTGTAGAGTTACTCTGCAAGGGTTTATTATGCAGCATGAGCACAGAAGACTGTTTCAGTGCAATAAAAGTGATAAACACTCGTAAGCTTTGTCATTTACACCAAAACACACACATTCTTACACATGCATGCAAAAGCTTTCACAAAGAGTGAATTTCCCTGTGATTATTTATCTTCACCTCTTCTGTGGTGGTGGCACACAGTCAAACTCCTGCGGGCCTCAAACTGCGTGTGAGGTATATTTAGAAATAGTAAATTTGCTTATTAATGGATCTGACACCAGCTATCAGATATTATGCTGGGTTCCTTTCTGCTCCAAGCTTCTGGGTGGCTTGTGGTTAGTGTCTGGGTGTCCATTTAAGTGGACAACAGAGCCCAAAGATTCCAAAGATCAGGCCTGTCTCTCTCTACACCTTTATTAGGGTTGTGTGCACATAATCTATCTCAGTGACACAATTTGAATCTTTCTTTGTTTGTAACTTTAACAACATAACAGGGATTTTATCATAATTATCTGGCGTTTTAGTCTGCAATGAAATCTTTTTAATAAATTAACCAGGTAGCTGAGTTCATGGCGCACTGGTAGTGCACATGTTTGCAACACATTAGCACTGTTCCAAAACCTTATGTGATGTGTGATGTGAGTGGAATGAAACTATACTGTAGAGATAGTTCACCCAAACTTGAAAATTCATCTTTTACTCACCCTCATGTCGTTCCAAACCTGAACGGCTTTATTTGTTCTATCGAATTATATTTTGGAAAACTGGTACCTAAACAGTTTCACTTCCCATTGACTTCCATTTTATGGACAAAAAACAACCTTCTACCAACATTCTTCAAAGTATCTTTTTGTGTGTTAATGTGTTTTTGAACAAATGATGGGGAAAAAAATGGAAGTTAGTTGGCAAATGAAATAGATTTTTATTAGTGCTGTTAAACTATTAATCGCATCCAAAATAAAAGTTTTTGTTTACATAATATATATGTGTGTACTGTGTATATTTATTATGTATATATAAATACACACACATGCATGTATATATTTAAGAAAAATATGTTATATTTGTATATTAAATATATTTATATATAATATAAATTATATAAATATATACATGTAAATACATGTAAATATTTTCAAAATATATACATGCATGTGTGTGTATTTATATATACATAATAAACATACACAGTACACACACATATATTATGTAAACAAAAACGTTTATTTTGGATGCGATTAATCGTTTGACAGCCCTAATTTTTTATATATTTAAAATATATATTTTTGTGTTAATGTGTTTTTGAGTAAACCATGACATAATTTTCATTTTTTGGTGAAAATTTCAGTTTTTCATTTTTAATTTAAAATGGTTGGTTTTCAGTTACTTATATGTTATTAAAGCAATATCGTTCAGAATCAATTAAATTGTAATTGTATTCATAATATTAACATCTCTGTTGCTTCATCTGTCACCTTAGATTGTGTAGATTTTTTATATATATTTTTTTTTTTGCTGAATTCATTGCATTCTGGCATTGCATTGCAATTGCTGACTTAAAATTTGGCCAAAAGAAGGTATTTTAAGAGGCGGCACAAATGAAGTTTCCTAGGTTTTTGGAACAGACTTTGTGTTGGGACTGCTGTCTGCATCTATTAAAAACAGAAAAAACATAAATAAACAATATTAAATGTCAGCTATTAAAGTAAAGACAAGAATATTACTGTAGAAAATTAACTCTGCTAAAGCATTTTCCAGAGGGAAAAGCTAAGTTAATATTGTCCAAACAAGCATATTGAGTGTTTAATGAGCATATTCATCATTCCTCACACTCCCCGTATAATATGAATTCAACACAAACACATAGACAGAAAGCCATCAGACAGGACACTCATATAAACAAGATTGGAGATGGATGGATGGTAAAAAGTAATTAGTCTAGTTTTACACCTGTTTATGTGTGAATTCTGTCTGATGAGTGTCTGTGTTTGCATTGCTAAAGATTATAAAACAAATAGATTGTCCAAGAAAAAGGGTGAGTGAAAAGCGTGAATCTGGCTACTGTGATTTACAGTGCATGTTCTGTGTTCAGTGCAAGGTGGTTCTTCATGCCTTTTGAAAACAAAAAAGGCGGAAAAGAACGAATGCAGACAGAAAACGTCGAAATAAACTCAATAGTTGAAATAAACTGCTGATGACGTGGTAGCGGAGGCTTTAAATTGCTGTTCAAATATGACTTCACTGGACTGTGTTTCTGCCAGTGACTGTCCTCTTGTTGAAAACAAGCTTTTATAAATGCTTAATGTGGAACTTTGCTTCTCCACATCCTACACTGGTTTGTATTATTCCTCTTTTATATTTACAAATCCTCACTAGCAGGACATTTACAGGGTTAGTAAATAAAACAAAGTCACAAGCTACAGAAAACTAACAGGCAGACCTGTCTGGATTTCAGGTAATAACCTTAAACTTATTCACAACAGAGTGGCCCTGTCCTTCCTCCATTTGGCTCTTTTCATCACAGGTCACGGACTATCTCTGTCTGTCACAAGTCTCAACCCTACATAATTTAATCTAACTCTCTAGACAAATGCCTGCTTAGAAAACAGAACAGTATGAAAGTCATCTAAACATAAAAATTCTTTCCTTTTTCTTAAAGCTGCAGTCCGTAAGTTTTGCCTCTTTGTCGCCATCTCTGTTTGAAAACCTGGAAATGCAGCTGTGTGTGGATGGATGTTAATGTTGTCAATATTAATTAAGTGTGTGCTTTTATTTCCTTTAATGCATTTTCTGTGCTTCTTAATATTATATTCATGCTCATCTTGTTATAAACTCTTTAAGGGGTAGCTTGGGTATTTTGAGGGCTTAAAGGGGAAGCAATGGAACATCTGAGGACAAAGTTTATGAAAACAAAAAGAACACCCATAACCTATATTTTTTCCTCTGAATCATTGCAAACAGAAGCTACTGCAGTGACTCACATGGTGTTTTTACTACTATAAATCCTAGCACTGGATTCTCAGTGTGAGGTGGAGCCCTGTCTTGAGTGTCAGGCCAATGTGTGTAAGCAGACTGACAGAATCTGATTTTGTGTCAATGCTTAGCCCTTATACAGACAACAAAAAGTAAATTAGTAACTCTGTTTAGAGAGATTTGCAGTTTAATATGTTCATATATTATTATTATATTTATTAGTATAGTATATTATATTATAATTTTTTTTATATGACCAACTGGCTGTACATTATCACCTTTTACATGAGTACTCAATATCCTACCAATAAATACATGGACATATGGTATTGTTTTAGTTTAATTTATTTAATATTACCTGTATATGATCTCACTAAGGAAAAAAAAGTCACTACACTTTTAAAAAATAAAGGTTCTTTATTGGCATCTATGGTTTCATAAAGAACCAATGTTCTTTTCATAAAGAAAAATGTTCTTTACAGTAAGAAAAAAATGGTTCTTTTCAGGTTCTTTGGGGAACCTAAACTAGTTGTTCTGTGGAATCGCTGTGAAACCTTCCATTTTGGAGCCTTAATTTTTAATAGTGTATAACATACAAAACAATCAGCCTAAAACAGTATTACCATAATACTGAAGTCTTTTAAGGAAATTTTCACTATAATCGATAACGGAGAGATGGCTTTCGGTTACCGGGACGCCATGGGCAATGCAAAAATACACTCTTAAAAATAAAGGTTCCAAAAGGGTGTTTTTTGCAGTGATGAAGAATCATTTTTGGTTCCCCAAATGACCTTTCAGTGAACATTTCCTAAAAGAACCATTTTGAAGCAAATTTTAAAAATCTAAAGAACCTTTTTCGACTATAAAGAACCTTTTCTGCATTTGCAAGGTTCCATGTATGTTCAAGGTTCTTCATAGAACCACTGATGCCAATAAAGAACCTTTATTTTTAAGAGTGTATCTATAGTGGCATATTACAACAAAAATCTGGATGAAGCCGGCTGTCTTCTTCAGGCTTGGTGGAGCATGAGAAAGGGAGGTGGTAGAATGGGACGAGGAGCGAGAGAAAGTTCAGGTGATTTTGTTAGGGGGTGCCCAATAGAACAGCAGAGGGCAGGGCTGGTCAGAGGAGAGACATGGACATCCAGAGAATAAATAAAGGCCTGGCGGGTTGTTTGGCCAGTGGTGCTGCTTTCAACTGAGGGTACTTGACTCTCACTTCACCTGTGTGCAATTTTAGCTCTTTGCTAATACCAAGTCTATCTGTCTGTCTGTTTGTCTGCCAACATGCTGGTTTGGGCGATCCTGCAGACCTCACTGGTCCTGTGGCTGGTACAGAGCACCATACAAAGAGGTAAGTTAGACGTGTCTTCTGAAGGGCTTGTTGTAGAGATTTAAGGGTGAGAAAGAGAAATGAGGAGAATTTGTGATGCAGGAGAGGGTAGAAAGCAGGACAGAGGCTTGTTATGATATTGGAGCACCCATGGGGCCAAATCATTGTATTATGACTAAAACGATTTTAATCTAAAATGGGACAAATTATGATAAAAAAGAATCTATGTAGTGGCACTAAGGTTGTGAGGTTAATTCCAGGTAGGGCTCTGACCCATGTACTCAAGCCCTTCATTGTGCCCTCAGGGGAGGCTCTTATGTTTGGTTGCTGAGAAAATCACATTTTTATTTAAACTGGCACTTTAAAGCAGAGCAATAGGTAGAGTGAATCTATGCATGATTAGGTGGAGAGACCAATCATCCAATGCTTTTGCTATCTGAATACCACTTTGAATGTCTAATAATGTGGACAGATTGCAGCAGTTTATTGATTAAATTGAAATGTATGCATGAAAAGATAATCCCATCAGATAAAGAATGACTAAATCTCTTTCAACCACTAAAAAAAACGCTTTACAAATCTTTGTCTTTGTTTGTTTAATATATGCAGGGGGTTTGTGAGTTGGTAAAAAAGCTAATAATTAAATAATAAACACATATAATTAAAATGAATAATTTAACAGTAAAAGCAAAGTAAAACATTTATTAAAAAAGATTTAATATTTTATTTGTTTGTCATGTGACCAGCAACCGGCATAAGAGAATCTCACGGGGTACTTGAAGTAAATATTTTAGGTCCAAGAGGTTCAGATGCCAAAACGTTTGGGAATCCAGTTGAAATATATATTGCATAAATAAATAGAATACATTAGTTCTCAATTCTTGTTCCTTTGAGAATTGAGATTTCAATAAAATAGAACTTCAGAAGAGGAAATATTTATATCTGCTTAGACTTTTACACCTTTTTTATTTATAGGCTACATGTCTCACCCATATGATTTAATGTAATATGTCACAATGTAGGTACCTGAAATCAGTTTGCATACCATTTGAAGCAAAATATGAGTTGGATCTCTGAACAAAAGTGCCTGGAAAAGTTAATAGTTGTTAAATAAATCCAGCCCCTATTTGATAGACTTTTTATTGTGCTGCTAAAACATATGTTTGTATTTTTTAAACTTTAATACACAAGGTTATATTAGAAAACTTTTTTAAAAATTACAGTTTGTTTAAGGTTTGTAATTGTTTTTAACCATGTTTGCATATACTGCCAATGCACTATTAGATTAAACAGAAATACAAATTTTAGGTTTATAACTGTTAATCCTTTTTCCCATTTAATATTGCCAGTCCTTTGGTTGACTTTGACATGAAAACACAACACTGAGGTGAAGTAATCACTGAAGAGTGGTGCTTTTCTTTATCTGGTGCCAATGAGGAAGCAACCAAACAATGAGAAAAGTAACAGTATGCATGACAAACCGTAGCTTGACTTGCTGTCCATATCTGATGCAAGCTATTTATTTTCTACTTTTCTGCGCCTTGTAGAAAAAAAATCTATTGTCACCTATCGATACTTGACAGACAAAACTTCTTTTTTTTTAAATTCAGTAATTCAGGCCACACTGTCTTTTCAGTAATCTTGAGCAGGGCTGTACGTTAACTTTTTTTTCACATAGCACTGGTGCTACAGAGGTTGAAAGTTTTGTCATGTCGCACTGTACAGCCCTGTTGAGGCATTGTTGCGTCATCGAATGTTCAGCCAACAGTCACGGATGTTTGTACGTCAGACTAAAAGGTGTCTAGAAAATGACGTAATAAAATGCACATAACGATTCCATGTTAAATGTCTGACGGCTGTGATAACTGGAGAAAAAACACCTCAGGAAGTGAGTCATGGCTCGACGTGTCTGAGTTTGCCTGGATATGCTCCAGCTCCATAACTCTGACCGCAAATTAAACCTTCATATTTCATGTCTGAAGATCAAAACCCAGTGCCTGAAGGTGACAGCGGTGGTCAAAATTTGTCAGCCTTCTGTCAGTCCTGACTTTATACGGCCGATACTCAGCCCAATTTGTCCTTACAGTTTCTGGGCATCAATGGAGGCCTGTTCCAAATACACAGAGACAGTGGTTAGTTCAATGAAATTCACACTGCTAATCTCTTATTACATCAGCTGACATAGTTTCTCAACCATGGAAGTTTTATTGGTTGATTTCTAAGAATTCAAACAGGAGCTAATCTCACTAACCGAGAAGTACCAAAATCTATTTGAGCACCCTCTGCTGAAGTATTTTTTACGACCTTCATGAGCCCTGCCCTTAAAAACATATGGTGTTAGTATAGTAATATTATCAGATAATATTATGTTGGCCATAATAAGTATTTGCATAGAAGGTTTGTCAGAAAACATGGGATTACCATGGTAAATCTCCAAAAATATGGTATTCTTATTTTTGAATATGGTATTCAAAATATGGTATTCTTTCTTTTGGGCTAAAATCTTTTACACAGTTTTTTATTTCCTTGTTTTAAAGGAGTTAGGCCACAGACTGGAGCTCTTGGAAGATTGGCGAGTCGAGGTATTTTGCGCTTTTTCATTTCTGTATATATAGTGCATCTGTGAGATATTACAGAGGGTTAGAGGTCAGAACGTTACACCACATAATGAGTTTCTTTATCAATCCGGCCTTCTATCTTTTCTCTGTAGGTCCTGGTATCGGTGTAAAGTCTGGAGGTAAGTCTGTCTGCCTGAACCTGATGGATGCTGCTGAATCCAATTAGTTTATGTGAGTACAAAGGTTATCTTCTTATTCTTTCATTTCTGTACTGTCCTAGGTCCAGTGGCTGGTATCCTCGGAGCCCGTGGCTATGGGGCAGGCAAGCCAGGTGGTAAGTGACATTAAACTCTGATGAAGTTGATGAAAATAAGTACAAACAGTAAATAAAGATTTACAATTAACCTTTGACTAGACACATGCCAAAATACACAGAACTGATTTTGAAAAAGAGACAATGTATTTGTGGTCACACTTTATTTTAAGGTCCAATTCTCACTATTAACAAATCATTAACTATGACTTTTGCCTCAATAAACTCCTAATTTGCTGCTTATTAATAGTTAGTAAGGTAGTTGTTAAGTTTAGGTATTGGGTAGGATTAGGGATGTAGAATATGGTCATGCAGAATGTGCTTTATAAGTACTAATAAACAGCCAATATGTTTATAATAGGCATGCTAATAAGCAACTAGTTAACAGTGAGAATTGTTCCCTATACTAAAGCGTTACTGTATTTGTTTGTTTATATACAAAAAGTGAATCTTTTGGATTCTGACATACCAATCATTTAATGTTTTTTTTTTCTCTCACAAACAGCTGGACGTTATCTTGGAGGTAAATTTATTCTGCTTTTTATTTTGTGTACAGTGCCGTTCAAAAGTTTGGGATCTGTAAGATGTTTGTGAAGGAAGTCTCAAATGCTCATCATTACTGTATTTATTTGATTATTGATTATTAGTTATTTGAAATATTATTACAATTTAAAATAACTTTTCTCTACTGCCATATAGTTTAAAATGTCATTTATTCCTGTGATGCAGCGCTGAATTTTCAGCATCATTACTCCAATCTTCAGTGTCACATGATCCTTCAGAAATCATTCTAATATGCTGATTTGCTGCTCAATAAACATTTCTTATTATTTTCAATGTTGAAAACACTTATTTTTTTGATTAATATAAAGTTTAAATTTGAAAAGTTTATTTGGAATAGAAATCTTTTGTAACATTATAAATGTCTTTTCAGTCACTTTTGATAATTTTACTGTGTACTTGCTGAATAAAAGTATTAAAAAATCACACTGACCCCAAACTATTGAACGTTAGTGTAAAATGCACGCAAGCAGTTGTTTGTATATGTGTGCAATAGTCTGTGTTATTATGTGCATATGGACTCAGTGTGTGTGTAGTTTGTGTAATGAGTATGGTGTCTGTTAGGGGCAGCATACAGACCCACTGCGATCAGAGGAGGCCTGAAACAAGGATATGGAACACTTGGTTATGGAGGAGGTATGTCATTCCGAAAACTATAATGGGCAGATATCAATTTCTTCGTCTGATGGATTTATAATTCTTGCATTCATCACCATGATCCTGCTATTTTGGTCTTAGCTGCAAACCTTGGAACTGGCCTCGGGGCTGCCAGGCTGGGACTCGGCACAGGGTATGGCCTAGGCAACGGGCTGGGAGCAGCCTTAGGTTATCCAGCAGGGAACCTCGGAGGAAGAGGTAAGAGCTGCTCATTTGCTTTCAATTCAGAAGTACTCTTGCAACACTTATTCACTTTCTGATTTTGACATTTTCTAGGTTACACCAGTAATGGCTATGGAGCGCAGCTAGGTGAGTGTGTGCATCATAACGACCCAAATCAATAAATCACACATTCCAGTTTAATGCCATCTCTTTCCGACCTGGAGGTTGTGTAGCAGATTGGATCTGATCTAACCAATCAAAATTCGACCTCGTGCTGTGATTAAAATCTTTCACACGTAGTGATATATGCTGTCCATTTGCCATGATTAGGTGTCATATTTTTGATGAAGATGTGTGGGAGTGGGAGTTTATGTATCTACCATGAGAGGCTTCCGCTAAACAGGCATTTATTTATTCTTTCTGTAACCTTGACATCTCTCTTGTCTTGTTGCCAGGTTATGGCGCAGGAGGATACCCCGCCGCTGGACGCGGTATGTAACCTCTCCTTGTCAAAGCATTAGGAAAATGTGTGTGTTTAATCTATGGGGGTTGAACACGGTTTTGTTGTTTACTCGGGTTGCAATAGCAACCTCTACTGACCAACTTCATCCACTTTATTCCAGGAAACAGTTGGATCCTTTTCCCCCCTATAATACTTTCTTTATTTCAGATTTCTGCAGTATTGGGTGTTTTAGTGATAAAGTGAAAATTTGTCGCCAGGAGCAAGATAAACATTCTTTTCAGTGCTGATATAGGCTAGCAGTATTTAGGTATAGCCTACTTTGTGCACCAAATTTGTTTTTATTTAAACCTTTGTGGTATTTCATAAGTATTTTTTTGGAAGTGCTTTATTATTCTGCTATTTTAGGGTCTTTTGATGGGAGGGATTCTAACCCAATCTTTTGATTTATTCAGCAGTTATTGGAACTTCAACAAAACTGACAGAAGTGTTAAAATACGTTAAGTACTGCAGTACTTCTATGTGCCACTGATAGGCGCTGCAGGAGGGCGTGCGCCTTGCCTACAGTTAATTGTTTGCAGAATCATTTGCTATAGTTTTATCCTTGTTTTATTGTGTACTTGCATACCCAAACGTTCAAAAGCCACTTCATTGCTTTGGAAAAAGTGACACGGGTCACGTGGTTTATTGTTGTGGATGAGCTAATGAGTTTTAAGAGAATATGCAGATGTCTTGTGCTATCAGTTTCGTGTTGGTGGATGTGGATTGATGGTTATGTTTGCACATCGTATTTGTCATGGGTGCTGTCGTGTTGGAAATGTTATGTGTGTGATCTCTATTCTAAACGTTTACCTTAAGCAGACATTATTATGACAAGTATTGCTGGATGATTTAAGCGTCTTATCTTTGTTTGTTGTTTAATTGCAGTAATCTTTTATGTGTGCTTTGCATCTAATGAGCATTATGGGTTGAGTAACAGTTTATTCAGATTTTTGTGATATGGCACAGCAGCAGTTGTGTCTGCTGGTCAAAGTGTTAGAGCCAATGTTAAATCAGTGTTTTAATGTGCATGCTCTTACAAAACATGTCGAAAAACGAAAGGCTCATCTAGATTTGGTGTATCAAAGCTGTGAAACTGACATTAACAATGATTTTGTGGTCTTCAGGATATGGTGTACCAGCTGGCACACCCACAGGGCAAGGCTCAAACCCATCAAAACTGGGTAAACCCTCCAATATCTGACTCATTCTTGCATTTCCTTTAGGGATAGGCTATTTCCCATTCACAGATCATCAAAATTCAGATATTCATTCATGCTTTTTTCATTTTTTTAACTGTAGAAACAGCAGAAATGAGACATACAGACTAAAAACAAAACAAAAAAACAACCACAACAAATAAAAAATATCTAAACATTCTTAAATCAAGATACATTTACCTGAGAAACAAAATGACATAAAATAAGTCGTTTTCTGAAAATATGTATCAAAATTAAATATATATAAAAAATGTGGTGACTTAATGCTTTAAAAAATTAAAAAATATCTGCAAATGGGGTAAGACTAATAAATATTTTTCCTTTAAATTAAGTTTATCTTTCTTATTGGCAGTTTTTGTTGTTGTTTCAAAACATGAAGTCACTTTATATTGATCAATTTGTCAGAAAACAGTACTTTGCTTCTCAATTAAATGTATATTGATTTAGGAATGTTTTTATACAGTATGTGTATTAAAAAAATATTAAGGAAGATATTATTTTTATTTGTATGTATGTATGTATTTATTTTACAGTGTATTTATTGTTGTGTAGCTGTATTAATCTGTGTATTAGTATTAATTTAATTTGTAATCATATTTTGTTCTCTCAGCTCTTTTTGCTTGTTAACCGTAATATAGGCTGTTTTAGCTTGTTAGGGATTTTTGTTGATGTTTGAGTCAAGTTTGGGCCTCTTTGCTGAAGGTTTAAGAAGTGTTAGAGCACAAAAAGGTCTCAAACTAGTGGATAATCTCTATTATCAGTTTCAGGTCTGAGGTTCAATTCAGTTGTCCAGCCAGCAGGGGGCAAATTGTTTTGCTCATGCAAAAAGATTAGAGGAAATGTTGAGGAACATGTACAGTAGATGTTTGAATCAGTAGATTTTGCAGGTCTAAATCATATCATATCATTCATTCATTCATTCATTCATTTATTAGTTGTTCACCAACAAAAGCAGTATAGTTCCGTAAGACTGTTAGATAAAATTGTGTTTAGATTAGGACCATTTTAGTACCTTTTGAAAGGGTACTGCCCCAGTGACAGCTTTGTAGCTTTTTTCCCCGATAATGTAGGAAGCAGGATTGTGCAGTTCCATTCAGTACCACTTTTTTGGTCATGTGGTGGTTGTGTACCTGCTTCTGATGTTGTGTGCCTGCTTCTATGAGCATCTATTGTGTAATTCTGTCATTTTGCTGTGACTCAATAGAGATATCTTGTTGTGCATTAGATATTTGTTGTGATCTTTATCTCTCACATCAGGAATCACCATCCTGTGCAACTTTGCATAGATGTTTGAGAAGTTAGAATGCATGCTGGCTCAGTACTCGATCGTGGTCAAGTTAACACCCTAATAAGTGTCATTTACAATTATGTTGCTTTTTTATCATTCTCACCATTGAAATCTTTGCCTCCAGCTGATGTGTCTGTATTCACAGGTGTTGGGCCTAGAGGTGGCCAGCCCGTGTCACAGGGAGAGAGGGGCAATGGTAAACCTCAGTACCCCCACGTGTGGCTTTCATGCTTTTTAAAGCTTTTTCAATCTGCTCTTCTGGATTTTTAGTTACAATATTTTAGCCATTTACACTGCATGATGAGTGGCACATTGCTCCCTGTTATCTCACTATACAATACATGCCTATCCTGAAATGTGTTGTTTTTTTTACTTTGCTTTTCTCTCCAGCAGAGTAGCATCTCTTATGCTCTTGCAACAGTAGCAGCTGCTATGTTGATAGTACCTTGGTGAATGTTAACTGGTGTTATGGTGTTTAGGTTACAGTCGCGGAGGGGTCCCAAATGGACAGGGTGCTATAGCCAATGGTAAAACTCATCCCAGATGTATGTGGGACTTCATATTTGAAAGATTAATTGCTGTATAATATGATTGACATAGTTGTAGTATATAGTCGAGTGTATATCCGCTTGTCAAGTCGTGACATGAGAAATACTGTTTCTGTGTCCAAGCCTCTACACGTTTCAGTTAAGAATCTCAACAGCTATTTTTGATCTCTGTTTATTCATATGACACATTTAAGTTAAACTTTTAAAAACTCATGGCGTACACTACAGTCTCCAAGCTCACAACATCCTGGACACTAATATTTAAGGATTTATAAACAGTGGCCATCTGAGATTTAGTTATGAAGATAAAGGTTAGGACCATGATTTTTTTTGGTAGTATTACAGCACACCGTGAGTGTATATTACCACTATTTGTTGTTTGCTTTTGGCATCTGCTAGAGTGTTTGGACATCGGAAACAGTGACATGAGATGTCAGACTTATCAAGCAGATAGTTAGTATACAGTGTCCTCTAATGGCACAGGCAAGTCTAAATTTTGGGTTTTAAGTAATGTGGTCATGAATGACTGTGGGACTAATATAGTAATTGTAGCTGCGGTCAATAGGTTTCCCCTCAGGACCAGGAGTGACCAATGGAATGAGAGCTCAAATTAAGGGTAAACACACGCCAACAGCTGAATTAAAGCCAAGCTGAACATATCAGACTGTATTCAATTCTATTTCAAATTCTTATCTTTGTTGTCTTACACTACCATTCAGAAGTTTGGGGTTGTTAAGATATTTAAGTCTCTCCCTTATGCTAACCAAGGCTTTATTCATTTGATCAAAAATGCAATAAAACATAAATATTGTGGAATACTATTACAATTTCAAACAACTCTTTCATATTTTAATATATATTTTATGATGTTATTTATTCCTGTGATGTCAAAGCTGAATTTTTAGCCATTACTCCAGTCTTCAGTGTCACATGATCCTTCGGGAATCATTCTAATATGCTGATTTGCTGCTCAGATAACATTTATTATTATTATCAATGTTGAAAACAGTTGTGCCACTTTAATATTTTTGTAGAAACCACGATATGTTATTTTAGCTTATAATACCTTTATCATCCCCAGACTTTTGGACTGTAGTATAGATGTCTATGAATCAAAACTATTGGTGCAAGATCGTGTACATTGTGTAGGTAACTACTGTTACGATCTATAGGCTATGGTCCAGCAGCAGATATGATTAATGGACGAGGAATTATAAACAATGGTAAAGTTTTTATCGCCTTTGTAGCATACAAATGATCTGTTCCTATCTGTAAGTAATCAGTAAAAAGTTTCTGTAATTAATATGTTTATATTCTTTGCAAGTAAAGGGAGAGTGGAAGGCAATGCATGCAAAAAACTGTTTTTAAAGCATAAGCATATAGGTGATGGGAACTATGTTGGATTCTCTGTGTTGAGATAAACCACTGTTGTAATACAATACAGGACCAGTTTTGCCCAACGGACAGGGCACCAAACCATCCAATATGGGTAAATGTCTTCCTATTAAATTGTCACCGGTTTATGGCTGAATGCATGTCACGAGGTGGTGTTTTCTCCAGTCTAAAATCAATACAGTACTCCAACCGTCATCCAATGGAATGAATATATGGCCTTTGACACATTAGAGTGTTAATGATTGTGGACTGGAAAATCCACCCCTCATCATGGACTCATTGCAGCTGCAGGTCTATGAATAAGTGCTTTTCTGTACCACAGGTGTTCCGAAAGGTTTGTGTGTGCAAGTGTGCTGGACTAATGCCTCATCTATTTCTTGGGGCTGTTCTCTTTTCTTTTATATGCTTCACCTGAGCCTTTATCTTTATATCTGCCTTTGTGCTGATGTGTGCCCAATGCATGTGCGTTATTTCTCTCCCACAGGCCACATGTATGGACCAGTCACACACACTGTGAATTCGTCTTGCATGATTACTCTGACCCACAGACCCCTAAACGATCACATTATTCTGTGATGGCCATGATTTTTATTACTAGTGGCCAAATTTTCATAGTTTGCATATCTTGTTAACAGGATACGGCCTTGGTGCTGCTGGCTATCTTGGAGCTGGTTTTACTAACGGTTATGGAGCAGGTATCTAGAAATTGTGAAATATTGTTTCTCTCTCAAAGGTCCCAGTATCTTAATACAAGCTCTAGAAAATTCATATTTTGCTAAAGCTACCACATTTTTTTTTTATTGCTGATACAGGTCTAGGGGCAGGTGGATATCCACAGGGAGTTCGAGCAGGAAAGCAGATTGGTAAGTAATGTCTATTTTATTCATTATATAGAGGAGACGGGGCTAGTTGTCACAAGGGCTGCATATTAGCAAAATGTTTTGAGTTTAAAGTCTAATTACATAAAGATGTGTTTTCTACAGCGGTTTGTACACTATTTTTCAAAAGATGGGGTCAGTAGGATTTTTTATTTGATAAAAAAAAATTGTTCAGTAAGGACACATTAAAAATTATTAAAAGTGACAGTCAAGACATTTGTAGCGTTAAAAAAAATCAATTTCAAATTAATACTGTTCTTTTTAATTTGCTATTCATCAAAAAATCCTGGAAAAATATTTAATGTTTTCTGCATAAATATTAAGCATAACAACTTATTTCAACAGTGATAATAAGAAATGTTTCTTGAACAATAAATCAGCATATTATAATGATTTCTGAAGGATCATGTGACAGAAGACTGGAGTAATCATGCTGAAAATTCAGCTTTGCTATTACAGGAATAAATTACATTTTAATATATATATTAAACTAGAAAACAGCTATTTTAAAATATTTCACAATATCACTGTATTATTGATCAAATAAATGCAGTCTTGGTGAGCATAAGAGACTTATTTAAAAAACACACACTTTTTTTTTAAAGGTACCAGAACACCTGGTTCAGATACAAATGTTAATTTTTATGATTATTTTTGTGAATTCTGTCCACTTCTCTATAGCTGTTGAGTAAATAACACATCACATTTGTATTGGGGCAAGTTGTCACATTTGCAGATGTAGACCTTCCCTGAAAAAATAGTTACTGGAGTAAAAACTGTGACTACTACTTTAGGCCTTTTCTCCTCTATATAGATATTTAAAATATTGTCCTTTGTTTCTTCTAATGATTTTACTATTCTTGTCTCTGTTGATGCCCAAGTGAAACCTTTTATAATATCATAACATTGTTGCAGTGTGATGCATTAAGCACAAGTGTGGTCAGATCAGCAGCCTGCTGCTTCAGCACAAAGCCAAGAGCTGCTCTAGAAGCAAAGTGCTCCTCTAAGACCTCTACATTTGGGTTCTTGCACAAACATGTGCGTGCCAGTTTGTGCTAGAAACACCCAAAATTTCACACTCTTTGTTATGCTCATTTTTGTCCGAATCATCTTGGTTACACAGTGGTTGACTTTGACTGTGAAACACAGTGGTGCTTCCTGTGTTACTTTTACACCTTGTGCAGTGTTGAGTTGAATAATGTCTTCTCAGCAGGCTACAGCAATGGATACGGCAGTGAGGTTTATGGCACAGCAGACGGTTATGGAGCAGGTGAGTCTGGACTGGATAGGTACGATGGAGCACGTCCTAATGTCACACTAACATATAAGCATAATTGTAATTGAGTGACAATTATAATTATGTTACAGGACCTGCCTACCCATCAGTGTTAGCTGATCATTTTGGCCTGAACGGTATAGCTGGTAAGGCTGAAGGTTATAAGTGTAACCAACAGCATTGCATTCACACTAAAGACATTCAAAACACCTGCAGTAATGTCAGCACTTCATCCAGTGTTTCATTCACTCTGTCCTGTGATTATACACAATATTATTTTACTCAAGATTGTAGAAAACAACCTCCTCCAGCCTAATCTGGGTGAAGTGTCTGAACTGCAATAGCTTGACCACTGAGCAATCAGCTGTTGCCTGTGCAATTGCTTTTATGCTAATACTAAGGTAATCTGAGCAAGACTGCAGTATGCTCCTAGAATACTACTAATGGAAATGGTAAACCGAGTGTTTTGCATACATTAACTAGAAGCAGCAGCATCTGCATGAAATCACAGAGGTCAATGTCTGCTCTTTCAGGTCTTGGAGCTGGAGGCCTTGGAGGTCCAGGGCTGGTAGTGAACCCCGGCCTGGGTGCTGATGCCAAGTCTAGAAAATATGGTAAATAAAGTCATCTGAAGATGACAGTTAAATAAAAAGAAATTGAATTAAACACACTAAATACACAACCGTTCAAATAGGGTTTGGGGTCAGTAAGATTTTCTCATAAAGGCTGCATTTATTTGATCAAAAATACAGCAAATGCATTGTTTTGAAAAATGAGTACAATTTAAATGTTTTAAAGTATTTAAAAAATGTCATGTGAGGACAAAGCTGAATTGATCTTTCAGAAATCATTCTAATATGTTGATTTGGTGCTCAAGAAACATTTCTTATTATTATCAATGTTGGACCTTTGTGCTGCTTTATAATCTTGTTGAAACCTTGATCCTTTTTTTTTAGGATTCTTTGATGAATAGAAAGTTCAAACAAACCACATTCATTTCAAATAGAAATGCTTCATAGCCCTGTGAAGCCGTGGTTTACAGTGAATTTATAACAGCTAAGTGGGTTTTAGGCACTCCGCTTCGCGTCGACAACAACGCCCCTTAGCTGTTATAAATTCACTGTAAACCACGGCTTCACAGGGCTATGAAATGTATTTACTGTCACTTTTGATCAATTTAATGCATTCATTTCTTTTAAAAATCTTACTGACAGATTACAGCATTTTCCTACTTCACCTGTTGTTGACAAATGTGGCAAAACTCTTTCCAGCTCATTTGATCATTGTTGAGTCACGGTAATGTCTCTTCTTCTTTGTCTAGATATGTCTTTGTGGCTGTGGTTGCTTGATCCTATAATACCTCTGGTTTCATTTGTCTAAAGGGGCAGGTGGAGTTCTTGGAGCTGCCGGATCCTTGCCTTACGGTGGCCAGCCTGTGGTCTCAGCTGGACTTGGCCCCCAAGGCAAGGCTGGTAGTTATGGTGGAGCTACATATGGAGGAATACCAACCCTTGGGCCAGACACTTCTTTGGGTACGTGCATTGCACATGTTTGTTATTCAAATGCAACATGCAAATCTCAGTTTTCCGGCTATGCTTTGCCTGAGGATTTGACTTGAACACGAATGTCCCCTGTGAGAAAAAGAATGAAGATTTGAACAAGAGAATAAAGAGTATTAATAAACCAAACATGATTATAAAGATCAGATAACTATTATGAGAAAGAAAGTAAAGATGGTCTGTCTCCTATCAGGTGGTACAGGTGGAGCGATGGAGCCATTAGCAGGTAATATTGTGGAGTTTTTGGGAAATATATTTCAAGTCATTTTTTTCTGATAACGAAATGTTACTGCCGCAGGCGGAGCTGTAGGCCAGATTCCTTACAGCGCACCAGTCATTGCAGCTGGGCTTGATGGTAAGTTGGTAAGAACAAGAGAAATCGAGAACATCATGGACTGTCTGATTGTGACACAGGTGTAAATGTGTTTACCTGCAGTTGATGCTGGTTATCCTTTTGGTGCTGAGCAACTCAGTCTGGGTGCTGATGCTACAAAGACAGCCGCCAAATATGATGAGAATATAAGCAGTTTTGTTTTATCCATATACACTTAATACATATCTATTACATACACTTCCATAAAAATTTGGGGTTAATAAGATAAAAAAGTAATACTTTTATTCAACAAGGATACATTAAATTGATCTAAAGACGTTTATAATGTTATAAAAGATTTCTATTCTTTTTTCCTTTCAAATAAATGCTGGTCCTTAAAACATCCCGTTTATCAAAGAGTCCTGAAAAAAAAATGTATCACAGTTTCCACAATAATATTAAGAAGCAAAACTGTTTTCAACATTGATAGTAATAAGAATGCAACTTGAGCGTCAAATCAGCATATTTGAATGATTTCTGAAGGATCATGTGACACTGAAGACTCCTGAAAATTCAGCTTTGCCATCACAGGAATAAATTGCATTTTAAAACAGCTGTTTTAAATTACAATATTACTTCACAATATTAAGCTGTATTTTTCACCAAGTAAATGCAGTCTGGGTGAGCATAAGAGACTTCTCTCAAAAACAGTAGTGTATGCGTTAAATATCTAAAATCGACTGATTAAATAATTAAATCATCTTTAATATTGACTGATAACTGATACTGATGTATCATGCATGCCAAATGACCACCGGTCTGCGTTCTCATCTTCATCATTTCTCCACTAACATGCTAAAACCTAGCAGACATCACTGACTAAATACATAAATGCTGTTGACTAATAACCAGTGTGGTGACTGGTCATTTCCAGGCACAGGCTATGCAGCTGCACTAAGTACTGGTGGTCAGGGGCCCTATGGTGGTGAGTAAATCAATGACATGAGTTAGACAAACTAGCAAGTTTCTAACCTAATGACATCTGTTAAGGTCTAATGTGTGGTTAGTTTCACTATGTTCATTTTTTCCCCCACAGGACAGAAGGATGGAAGCAAGCTTAGTGGCATTTATGGGAATGGCTACAGAGGTAGATGATATATTAGAAGGTCTGTATTCTTAACTCAGCATATTGTGTCTTTTACCTTTCTCATCCATCTCTTCTCATCTTCCTTTTCTGTCTAGGCTGATTTCCAAGGCCATGCTGTTAAACTCGTCAGTGTTTTTTTTTGCCCCTTTATGCCTAGTGTTCCTCACTGTTGTGCAGTTTTGTGACATGTTTTTGTCTGCCTTATTGGTTTAGTGTTAGTTTTGTGCCCATTTGTGTGGGCATGTGTGTTTTGTGTGTAGGTGTGGTTTTGATGTTCATTGTTCTGTTTGTGGATGTTCCCCCAGTCTGTTCATTTGTCTTGTCCAGTGGAGTGTTTCATGTCCCTTGTGTGTCTCTGTATCTAACTAAAACATGCTGAGCACTTAATTGGCTGTTATTTTAATTCTTATGAAACACTAAATATTCCACCTCCTAATCCGACTCCTTAGTGTTTGTTTGACAACTATATGATCAATGAGGATTTCAGGAAAACAAACTGCCCAGTCCTGCTTAAGGGCACAATGATGGCAATTACGGGGTTTGATCCTGCACTATTAGCATCAGAACAAGCTAAAAGATGGTTTTGAATTCTGTTTTGAGGTCATGTTTTATCAAATTAAACATTACATAATGTCTTAAAGCGAACGCTAACAAAATGACATAACGGCCATAATCTTGTGAGCTCTCATATGGTTAAACGTACTGGTCTCAATTCTCATCCGTCTACAGGAAAACCACATAACAAGCATCCTGTGGCACACTCATGAGAGAGGAAACTAGTCAAAGCCATTGTTAAAGGGATAGTTAACCCAAAAATAAAGATACTGTCATCATTTACCTCGTGTCATTCCAAACCTGAAAAAGACTTTCTTTCTCAAAATGTCTCGGTGTTTTTTTAAGGTCTATACAAGTCAGTGGTGTCTAGTGTTGTTTTGGACCCCATTTACTTAGTTGAACAGTTCAAACATTCTTCAAAATATCTTCTTTTGTGTTCCTCAGAAGAAAGAAAGTCATACAGGTTCGTAACGACATGAAGGTGAGAAAATAGTGACAGAATTGTTATTATGCCATTTTTGAACTATCCAGATGGGTCAGAAAATGAAACACAAATACAACTCCAAGCAGACAATTTATAGTCTTTAATGACACAGAACATTACGTTTTTAGTTCTAGATTATTTTTACACATACTGTCATAGTGACAAAGAAATTATGCTACTTACAATAAACAAAAATAATTTTAAATAATACAAAGTGTAGACTGAAAGAGCATAACACAGTACAATGTATATGATGCCAGTGCAAGCATAGAAATCCTGCAATAAAAACAGCAGATAATAAATACGTATTGCGCATTGTCTCTACAGTTGAGAAATATTAAAGAATTATATTAAATATGTCTTTCTAATAGTGATTAATACAAGCAAGTTTCAAGTTATATTTTGCATAGCCGCACAAACAGATCCAAAGCCAAAACTGACTACAGAATAGTTTTAGCACTGTAATTTGTCTTTTGATATACATAAAGTCTGTCCAGAAGTACTCCCTTGCTCATCAATATTTCTGCCGGCACAGGTCGTGCATTTCGCGATGTGTATACCTTCTCCAGTTGAAGGTTCATGGGAGAACCGACATACTTTGCACAATAGGGGCCAGACAAACTTGGAGCGCATTTCACTTCTGTTTTGTAGAACAGCAGACCGTGGTTTAAATTGCAGAAATTGCCATTATGATCTGTTTTTATGGGTACTTCACAGGTTCCCAGCAAATCGTCGTCCCATTTACTGTCTTCATCCCACACCTCCAGTTTTAGCTTGTCATTCTCCGCCAGGACAACATCACCCAGATCAAAGGTTCTCCCCCAGTGGGGTGAGTTGTTATTCGTGATCATATCAGTGCGTCCAACCTGAATGTTATGTTTGTCGAACACTTTAACGTACCCATCGGTCGCTGTGGTCTGGTCACCCCACAGGTCTTGAGCCCTCACGATTGTGACCTTTACCCGAGAAAGTCCACGCTTAGATGGACAGCAGTCTGGTGTGATCCCAGGATTGTTGCGACAAGTGCAGACACACGGGTTGTTTGGGTTGGTTTTGACGCCATCTTTACAAGAGTCGGTGCAGTTCCTCCAGAGGGACTTTTCCAGGATGTAGTCATGGATGGCTTGGCGCAAGTGCTTGCGCACTGGATCTTTGGTGGGGATCAGCTCATGCAGGGACTCCAGAGAGTAAGAAATCACGTCTGGGTTTTGTGGTAGGGACTCGAGCCATTCTTTGTAAGCTGATGGGTCTTTTCCTCCTGAGAAAAGGAGCTCAGGCTCTGTAGTGTGACCTCCGGTGATCTCGGTCAGCCTTTGAATAAAAAAACAGTTGATTAGGGATACACTGATATTGAAACATGAAATTATTTTCATAAAGGCAATTTCTTTCTCAGTGTTTTTGTCGTGTTTTCCAGTACAAATATCTAAATATTATTACATGAAGATACATTTACTTTTAGTTCAGTTTATTTATTTATAAAGCACCATTAAAACAACAGAGCATTGACCAAAGTGCTGTCCAATAATGAAGATAATTCCTCAAAAAGAAAACAACAACGTCAAAACACTGATAAAACACCAAAACAGTACAAAATTTATTTATTAATTTTTTTTTAGAAAAAATTGTGTTTTTTAGCCAATGGGGTAAGGAAAAATGTTTTCCTTTTGATTAAGTTTATTTTTCTTACCCCATTGATATTTTTTCTTGTTTTAAGAAAACATTTTTACTTTTAGTTCAGTTCAGTTTATTTATTTATAAAGCACCATTAAAACAACAGAGCATTGACCAAAGTGCTGTCCAATAAGGAAGATAATTCCTCAAAAAGAAAACAACAACGTCAAAACACTGATAAAACACCAAAACAGTACAAAATTTATTTATTAATTTTTTTTTAGAAAAAATTGTGTTTTTTAGCCAATGGGGTAAGGAAAAATGTTTTCCTTTTGATTAAGTTTATTTTTCTTACCCCATTGATATTTTTTCTTGTTTTAAGAAAACATTTTTAAAAATCTCAGAAAACAATTGTGCTTCTTGAGAATATCTGCTGATTTTAGAATGTTTCGATATTTATACTGGAAAACAAGGCAACACTACCAAATAAGAAATTATTAACACTTTTTACAATGTGGCTGATAACAGATAAATGACTGAGATAAAAATTCTGTACATTTTTTGTCTAAATAAATAAAATACAAAATATTAAAAATAAATAGACAAATGAAAATCATTCATGTTAAATTAATTTTGGCACCACAACATTATAATTTACAGTATATAAAAAGGGATATAAAATCGTAGATCTGCTAAAGATTACATTTAATTATTTTGTTATTTATTCATGTTTTTAAAGAGTTACTTTAAGTGAGCATTAGATGATGGCAGAGCTAATCTAAATGTAATATATAGGGGACGTCCAGGACAGTAAATGTATGACAAGCTAGAAATTACAATACACATCATAATTTAAACCCACCTGTCATTAAAGCGGCTGGAGAAGCTGCTTTTGCTCTCCGTTTTGTCCTTGTCTTCATTACAGTGCTTACTTTCTGCTTTCATATCTACTTTGCCAAGGACGCTGGCACTTGCCTCCACGCTCAAGCATGTCTTCACTTCATCTGCACTTAAGCCCTGCAGAGCGATCTCACACTGTCTGATACTGGTCACAGAGCGTACGCTTCCTCCAAGAGTTACCTGGCAAAACAAAAAAGTAACACAGACACACTTCTGATTAATGACTTGACTTGCGGTGTATTGTGTTGTTGAAGCATTTTGGGCCTTTGTAATCCATACATGTGGAGTAAATTGTAAGCCAGAATTACCTTAGTGATGTAATGGGTTCCATAGGTGTTAATGAACTTGTAAAAACGCTTTTTGAAATCAAGATTGTATGTCTTGGGAAGCTCCTTCACAGAGCGCTTGAACTCGGGATGGAGAACAGGCTTGTTGGAGACCCTGTAGCTGAAATGTTAGAAGAGATAGGAGAAGGATATGACTCTTTGGTTTTACTTTATCATGAATAAAAAGTATTCAGTATTCAAGAAAGGCATGAATCAATGGAAGCTGGTATATGTCGCACCTGTAAAATGAACAAGAAATACTTTGGCTGGCAAAATTGTACTTGTCTCCTTTGGTCTTCCCCATTGAGTACTCTGCAAGCTTCGAGTTAGTTCCAGCCAAAACGAATGAGCCTTTATTTTGGCGAATATCTATGTCCAAATTTGCACCCCAGTTGTTCTCAATGGAGGAAGTGCTGGAGCTGACCAGTTCTTCACTGGACTGGTACAGGGAACTTGATATCTGAATGCTGCACTTTTTGCTGGATCTCCAGTCTACCACAGATGTGGGAAGCTTTTGATTTGCTCCTTCCATGTAGGGGTTCCTGCAAAGAGTGCATGATTTATCCTTTCGCCTCCAGACCTCTGTGTTAATGACAAAGGCTCCCATGCGCTGCATCTTGGTCACATCGTATCCTTCTCCGGCCAGGTTGGACCCGGGGGCGAAGTTTGCTTCTGCACATTCATTCGGTTTACCTTTAGTGCATGACTGCACAATGGGCAGAAAGAGGTAAATAACAAGCCCGGCCCGCATTCCTGTAAAATGGATTGAGATAAGGTGTATGGATGCTCTTCTTTCCTATGAAAAAAACATGACAATTATGTGTGCGCGAGTGTTTATATTTTATTGATGTATTTATTTATTTTTATTGAAACTTGAAATAACAGTACAAAATTGCACAATCAATGGTGAGTAAAAAATTACTAAATTACAAAAATTACAGTCTCACAAAATTACTTTCACACTCAAAATTCTAAATTATTATAAATAACAGTCATAACAGGATGGATGTCTTGCTCTGCAAGTTTTTAATAACAGTCTGTTGCGCATGAACATGATGGAAAAAGGTTATTATATTGTATTGTAGTTAGGATTATGACAATTTAGTGGATCTTGGCTACAGGGATCATAAGGAATATTTAAAAAGAACACATTTCAGTTACTTTTTAATTAAATTATTATTACTATTATGTAAAAGCTCCAAAACCTTCATAATGTAATAAATAAATAAAAATATTGACATAATAGTTCATTTTCATTACCAAATAGATTTGTAATATTTAAATGACTTCTGAAGTACTTCTGAAGTAAAAAAATAAATAAAAATAAGACATACTTAACCCATTTAATCCCACTGGTCACAATAGTGACCGTAAAAAAGGTTTTCATTTTTTTAAACCTCTAAAAACTTTACTGACTTACTAAGGTTTTAATGCACTTCCTGCAAATATAAGTTACAATATTGATGTTGTAATACTGGTAGCACTAAAATAAAAATTTTGTTAAGTATTACAAAAAAATTAACAATTTAGAAAAACGTCGATGGTTGTACTTT